CACATAACCGAAACCTCGGCTGTGAGGATTAACTGTATGCACAACCCTGGCCCTACTTCTTCTTAATCATCCCCTTGAAAAATTTCCAAAGAAACCCAGGCATGGCAGGAAGTGGCTTTGGCAGCACCTCAGCTGGCGATCTGCCCTCTTAGTCAGTAACGAACTAAGTCCTGATGTGGTGCTAGGAGGATCTTTGGGCAAAAAGTAAATCTGAGGCCCCGGCTACCTGCTGCCATTTTGATACCATGTTGCTGCTTTCTGCCAGAGGCAAAAATGCCTTGATCTGGCCTCACCAACAAGTGTTGTTAATAAATGCATTCTGCTGATGTAAAATTCCCTGCTGAAGTTGGTTCGTGATCCCCCATCACTCATATATTTCATGTGGACTGTGTACGTTCAAATTCCTTCCCTAGAAGGTGGCTATTCTTCTGTTACACATCATGATAAAAGTTGAAAATGAAAGGCCTGACATGACCCATGCAGGTCCCTGTACAATTATATGAATGCAATTATATGAAGTTGTCCCTTCTGAAAGTACACACTCCTAAGGCTGATTCTCTAACCGCTTGCAAGCCCCTTGTGTACCCCTTTTCCTCCATGTCCTCAGCATTAGAGCAAAAGATTATTTCAGGAGTGTCTTTTTATCTGAAATGTGTCCCTCTCTACAGGAAAGAATCTGCTAGAAGGTGCTATAAAAGACAGTCATGAATCATTGACCCATATTAAGAGATATTTCTATATCTCCTCTCAGGCATGAAAGAAAAACTGAGATAACACTCAGGGTTGTTAAAACTCAATCTTCTTTGTATTAGATAGTACATGTAAACAGGACAAGGTTATGAAAGAAACAGGTGGCCCCAACGTACAGTGCTTTAGGGGAAAAACAACATTAAAAATTACACTCAGTTGGGCTAGAAAGAGTTATTTGCAGCAAACACTTATACTACAAGAATGTACAAATACCCCAGCAGGGTTTAGTGCCATTTTGCTTCCGAAGCTGTGCAGAGCCCTGTGCACACACAAAACTGAGGCAGCTTTGCAGGCTTGGCAGGTGTCTGTCTGCTGTCTCACATGTACAGCATGCAGTGAAAGTAGGAAGGAAAACAGACTGCATGCAAGATCAGGCCTTGTGGTCGTGGCGGTGTTAGCAGAGCAGGCAGGTTCTGTGGCGATAAGCAGAACGTGTCTGTGTAGACAGATAAATTACAAAGCCGACTGTCACCCACCGAAACTCACAGGGACAGGATCTGGAGGAACAGGACCTCACACTGTTGGTGGTGCTTCTGTAGCACAAGGATGAGTACTTAGAAAAGCAACATAGGGTCTATTTTACACAGTGTTGTGCTCTTCATTCTCACTTGTGGCTGAACTAAAAATGTTTGCTTTTCCTGTGTTCATTGTAAGACTAATCTATCTCCATTTGTCTGTTTTCTTACTGGGGTGCCAGAAGGTGCTCCATGGACCATTCTCCCGTGATCCATGGACACCACCTGAGAAACGCTGCTGTGGAGATGTGCAAGTGAGAAAAGACATCTGACTCCCAACTCTCTGAAGGGACAAGTAGAGAGACCAAGCTAGGAAATGCACTCAAAATTCATTCCATTGTTTCACTGAGGTTAGTGGTATTACCTAAATTGACAAGATCACACAAGCTTTGTTTCTGAACCTCATTTCTCCCATTTTGACTGGTCTATAACCAACAGGCAGGCTTTATACCTATCCTCTTCATGGGCAGAGGTGAAGTCATCCTTCTTGAACAAAGGGCAATTTTGTTTTTTAAGTCACTAGCTGAACAGGCAGCCTTACCTAGAGTTTATTTCAGACTTTCACTTGACTAATTAAAGATGAAAATGAACTACAAAAGAACTGTAGGGAAATACCTAACAACTATGAACTTGACTCCACTGGTGAATCTGATGACCTACTGCTGCAAAACAAAACATGCCTAGTTGAGTGGATGATTGTGAAACAGTTTTACAGTAAGACAAACCCCATGTGCTTGCACACTAGGATACGGATAGACAGTACTTAGATGTACCTTGGCAATGCTTGAACAAAGCCGAAACATAGAATAATTTGTGAATCTGAAAACTGAAAGGAACCCAAAATACTTTGTCCAGGGATTTACTCTGAGGCTTGTATCACTGACAGTGGTACTCCACGGTATGTGCAGGAGGCCTATTCTCTCCTTTGGAGTGCTGTTGTCAGCTGAGATCACTGTGGCTTGATTATGGGGCTCAGCTGTGATGGGCTCACCTTAGGTAAACTCATTCTACAGGCTCAGGCTGAGAGCTGCAGAAAATTGTCTCCCTGAGGTAGCTACAGTAAGGTGCTGCTAGAAATCTGCAGCAGCAGCCCTAAACCGGATGTTTGCTTTTAAAAAAAGTAGGCTGATTAAAAGCGGTGAATATAAACTCTTAAATTAAAATACTGAAATTCCCACCATGAGGCAAAACCTACCCAGTTTATTACTGTCTGTTCTGAGAAAAATGGAAGTGTGGAGTCTCAATTCATGCAAAAGAAAATGTGTTCATTGAAAATGACCTAAGCCTTTTTTTTTTTTTTCCAGATTAAACCAGGGGAAAAAAACCCTTTTGAATATGTGGTGCCAGAATCTAGATGATGTACACCAGTGAATACAAGTAAATTTAGATTTAAAGCTAAAAACTCTGCTGTACCAGAGCCATTTGGTACCAAATGATACACGGGACTATCAAAATGGGCATTAAAACTGACCCCACCATAATATGACTGCCTGAGGCAAGGCTTTCAGATGCCAGGTACAAAATTTACAGCCTCCAGAGAGTAAAAAATGCCTTATCATATCCTCCTCTGTCCTGAGTTGCTCTGGGAGTTAGAAGGACTTCAGGACAAACTCAGCAGACATGAAAGTTGTTGGGTGTACAGAACCTCCACTGCCTAAGAGCCATATGCTCATTTACCACTGCCAGCCTACATACCCCTAACTTTAACTGTGCCTCAGATTCAGCACCAGAAGCAAGCAGCTGTTGAGCTAAATTCTAAGTTAAGTGGGTGTTTCAGTGAGGCTTTTCCTTAATATTCTAAAAAATGCTTGAGGGTTTTCCAATAGATACACTTATGTCATCTTAGACTTGAATAGTCCTATTTTATTGTAAATTTGCACATACATTATTTTCTAGTGGCAAATAAATTACCTGTAAGAATTGCATTTTAGTACAAAGGGAGAGCTGTATTATCCATTAGGCATGAAGAATCTTTCCCCCCCTCAAAAAAAATTGACCAAGAAAAAAAAGTAGTTTTGCATGGTTAGATTTTGTCTGGAATACTAAAACTAGCTGAAACTATGTCTGTTCCTTAAAAAAAAATAATTCTTATTTGACAGTCCTTGTGGACTTATTTTGATCCAAAACTTCATAACGTTTTTTCCGAAAGAAATCATAAAATTAAAGACATTCACATCAGTGTTCAATATACAGCTTTTTGTGGCAGAGAATGTATGAAAGTAGGTTTCATCCCCCAATTTGTTAATCCAAAACCACTTTGCCTGTAGAGTAGGAAGTTTTAATAAAAAACCTGAGACTCCTTGAAGGTGTCACTCAGATAAAATCTTTCTAATTCTTGCTGGACCCATCCAGACAAAACCGATAGAAGGCTGTGTTTAAAGCATATGTGAAGCTTTCACTGCCTCTGCTTTACTTGAGCTTTAACAATCATCAACTGTCTTGAGGTCAGGAGGGCTTCTTTGACAGTGGATTCGCTTCTTCAATTTCAGCTTTTAAAAAAACTACGCAGCTATGTGAAGATCCATATCAGTCCTGCACTTTCAAAACAGGAAGATAAGCAAGAAGCAAAATGTTCTTGAAATCTTGCCGTTGCTAACCTTGCTCAAATGGGTGATAAAGGGAAGAAAAAAAGCACAGTCTCTGTGCTGTACAAAAGACACTATTACTCATCTTTGCTGAATTTGTGCTTTGCCTCTCACTCCTCACTGTCACAGCTGCTTGCTTGCAGCATGGTGTTGGTGGATGCCAAATGCAGCATGGCACAGCAATAATGAGAAATAAGCTACCAGGGGAAAATTATTCAAAATCACTTTGCAAAGGAGGTGGTGAACATAGAGGATGACTTGGAGGTGGGGGAGGTCCACAGGAAAAGGCTAATTCTTTTTTCCTTCTCAGAGCTGTGAAACATTCAAGTGCCAGAGGCCTGGGAGTGTTGAAGGTACTTTCCCAGTAGTCGTACAGAAATTTCACTCTCCCTTTACTTCCTTTCCCATCAGTTGTGTCCTCCCTCCATCCCTAATTCCCCAGAGCTCTAACCCCAAAACACTTTTTCACAATTCTTTCCACTCTTAAGGAACCGGTCACCCACTCCCACATAGCTGGAACTGCACCCAAGGTAACAGCCCTTTTCCTGCCACCTTTTTGTTCTTCTCCCTTCCACAGAGAAAAATTAGACAGTATCTGTGGTTACTGAAAGGGCTGGTATTTGACTAATCAGATCTCTTGCAAAGACTCCAGGGGAGTCAAACCCTTGAATTGTTTAATAAAGACTAAGAAATAATATTGCCTAATGGCCTCATATAACTTAAAATAAACCCATTAACTGACGACTTACAAAATATCTCCTAATCTGTGTAAGCTGAGACAGTACACAGCTTCCAGAGGATTTAATTTCTTTCTTTCATCTACAGAAAGAATAATTAGGACCAGCCCTGCCCAGAATGATATGCACTAAAGAGACATTTGGTAATTGTCTCCTAATAATATTCCAGGCAACATGCTTCAAACTAATTAGTACAGAGGCTGATGTTGTTGAAAAGGGACACACAAAAGACAGCCATATCATGTGAAAAACCGCAAAGTCATAATTTTGGAACTGATATTGTGGTAAGGGTTTAATATCTACACGGGTAGACATAATGGCCACATACCCTTTGTCTTTCTGAGATCTTCAAGAAAATACAGATGAAACAATCACTCTGCATTGCTTCATGAAAAAAATTATATTCTTATAAAACATAAAATCTCTCTCTCGAATGCATCTACTGCTTTAAACAGTATTTCCATTGGTCTGGATTACATTTATTTGAAACTTTTCAAGACAAAGAATTAACACAAGCTGATCACAGGGTCTGACCTCCTCAGCATTTTTAGAAGAGATCCTCATACTTTCTAGGCACCAGGGATAGACCAAAAACCAATTTGTCTGTCAGCACACTGAAGGAAGGGCTGGGTGCTGTGCTCTTTAAATGCTGTTGGTTCAGTGAGCCAAGAATAGTCATGCAGGTCTTAGTGGGTTGATCTGAAATTGAGTCAAGCTGATGTCTGCTTCTGGGGGGAAGCTGACTTGATCACCAACTCCTAGAGCATCTGTGGAGCCTATGGAAGGCTGGCAGAGCAGAAAAGGTCACATAGCATTCACCTCGGCCTGGCTTAGAATTTGCAAGCAGAAAAAATTATCACAAATACTCAACATGACTATCCTGCTGAATACTTCTTTCCCACTAATAGCTGGTCTTACTGTTTATCCTCAATGTGGAATCAAGTTTATTTTGGAAGCTTATTTTACAGTTCAATGTGGTTTTAGCAATACTATTGCTAGTTACAATTTAGAGATAATATTTTCTATCATTCTGATTAATCCGTTAAATAAATATGCAAATATATCAAGTGCTCTGTATAAAAATACATACACACAACAAACAACCCCTCATATAATAAAATCAAGATTAATAAAAATATGTACTATATTACACATATGAAACGTAGTTTTGAAACTATAATGAAACAATCACACATGAATCACAGGACATAATCTAAAAAGAACCAGCATATATATAATAATGGCAGTGCCTCTGTAAAGACAACTTGAGCATCTCCCTATTTAAAAATATATAAAAAACACAACCAGTGTTGTCTGTGCATTTATAGTTCCTGGACATAAGGTAAACCAGGAAGAAGTTTGTGAGATTCTTCATTCAACATCTGTATAGGGAGATGAATAACATCACAAACTTTTTCTTTTTCTAAAGGAGAAATTTAGGCTCCAAGACAATGAAATATCTCCTTTACATTAAGACCTATATTCATTTAGGACTTAAAGAGAGGAATAATTCTTACTCTGGATCTCCATACTTAGTGAAATGAGTACCTAACACCAGTTTAAACATAGCCTTCAACAGAACATTTTGATTTGTAATGACAAATAGAAAAGCTTGCTTAAAAACATTACAGGGATTAAACAAAAACCAATGCACTGTTCAAAGATGAAATATGCTGACCTACATAAAGTCAGACAACATCCTATGCATATTTTAAAACCTCTGCTTGTCCTGGGACCTTTTGCCCAGGCGTAAATTGCCCTGAGAAGATCTGCCTGCAGATACCAGGGCACTGAGCATCTCAGTGAAACACATGGGAAACTGCTGGAGGACTGCAATTCAGAAATATAATCAACAGTCTTGTGCTTTATGTTCCAGTAAAGATCAGTGCGAGCTAAAGTTAGTATTTAGCCAGCTCAATACTCATCCTCCAGACTGTTTCAGATGGAGAACATAAAATAAAATGCTTTAGCAGAACAGTTTCAAAGACAGATGCTATGGTCAGTGAACAGGAACACTTGCATAACCCTGCTACAGGCCATCCCTATCCAACAGCTGACGCAGACCACAGGTTGCAATTACTTAAATTGTTTTCACTTGCCTTTTCTTGGGGCAGCCCAATTAGAAGTTATCATTCCAAACTGCTTGCTTAAAAATAGCACAGACCACTGGTAGTAAATAAGTTTTTTTCTGACAATTCATATCAATATAATGCACAGCATCATAGCTTAATACAAATACTTTACACAACAGGCACAAAAGGACAAAACACAAGCATATAACAATGCAGCTTAGCTACTCTACTATATTACATGGCTGGGAGAGTTTCCTTTCATTTTCTTTGACCTTTTCTGTAGAATTTGAATTTCTGGTACCGATACGCAAGCAATGTTTCTTTTTAAAAAGCAGATGGAAAAAATGTAGATGAAATAGAATTCTGAGGAAATTAGTGAGATCATAGAAAAAGAACTTTTAAAATATCAGCAAACTGGTGCGACATAATAATAACAAGGGAAACAATTTTACTAGGCTCAGCATCTCCTAAGTAAAATGGAATAAAAAGTAAAATATCTAAAATAGAGACCCATTCTTCAGGAATAAAATACTGTCATCTTCCCTAATGATCTCCAAATGCTTGATTTGTGCATGTATGCTAGAGCTGGGGTCATTTTGTTTCATTCATTATCTTAACTAACAGACTCATTAAAAACATGCACAAACTTGGACCAATGAATGAGGGAGGGAGAAGAGCAAAGAATATCTCAGAAACTCAAGGATAATTGTACAGGTTGCTAGGATGATAAAATATAGAACTTTATTATGTATCAGTTCACGTTTTCATCTCTTTATTACCCCTCCCGAGAAGACTTGCTGTATGCCCATAGTATCACTTAAAAATAGAGATAAATAAATTTTGTCCTTCTGGGTTTCCCTCATTGTGGACCAAGCCACACATAATTACAAAATGTCACTTTCTGTTTATAGTGGCAGATTCTGAATGCACCCTCTGCTCTTCCTGGCTGGAAGGCATTTCTGAAGGATTCTCATGTTTCAGACATTACAGAGCATGCCTTTTGGGTTTAGACTTGATTGTCACTCTTGACATTTTTTCCTCACTTACTCTTGTATCGTGGCAAGTTTAGTACCTTATATGTTTCTAAGATGGAGTGACTGGATACTTCTTAAGCTGCACACAGTGAAGACCTTCCATCTGGGGAATAATGACGTAAACTTGTATGTCTCCTAACATCCAGGACACAGTGAAAGTCCTCTGTATTGGGACTGGGAACTGAAAGCATTATGCAACTCTTGGGGCGTATTTCAGAAAGCACATGTCAATTTTTTAACCCTGGCAACATTGTAAAGTGATTAAAAAGGAATAAGACTTATGTTTATTTTCAAAAGACATCAGTAGCAGAGTGCATCTGTGAATTCCTGTTCAAGTTCCACATGATTTTGATTTCCCCAGCCCTGATCTACTTGGCAACATGGTACCATTACACTCCAGTCTTCATGTCAAGGTCATGATGATTTTGTGTTTCATTAACAGTCAGGAGTTCATCACATGCTTGTGTTCGGTCATTTGACCGTTCTTTATGAACCAAGTGCACCATTTCTTGTGATTTGCTGATGTCTCCATTTAATGCACTTGACTTCCTGTCCTCCACTGCCCCTTTCCCGTTGTTAATCACTAGCTTTTTCTTCTGCCCACATCTAGAAAGAAATAAAAATAAAATACTATTAATAGCGACTAACAGAAATTAGAAAAAAAAATTAAGGTCAATATTTAGGAGAAGGTGATTGGAAAATAAACTTGTGTCTGCCAGTGCAGACTTACACTATGCAAAGTGCAAAGTTTCTCCATATTGCATATTTTAGTTTTGAAAGTATCCAAATGCATAACATTTGTCAGGAGCTCACTTATTCAATTTATATCTATTTTTCCTACATATAGGAATAACATTCATTACTGAATGCCAGAGTTCTTTTTCTAACCTTTGAATATATCCACATTTATGAACTTTGTATATATCCCACTATAAGGACACACCTTTGAAAATGCATGAGTTCTCGAGGGAGTAGAAAATTCAAATCAAGCTCTCACCTCATTATACAAAACAACTCTCTTTTTCTTTGTATTAGCATGTCAAGCCTAGAAGCCAATGAGCAGCAAGGAAATACGGAGCACTACTGCTGCTATCTGCAGCACAGTTCCTTATGATGTTAAGGTAGGAAACAGGTACTGTGCCTTTAAAGTTACACTCACTGCAGTGATGCCCAGTAAACTTTATATATAGCTCTGAATGAAAACGCACACACACACATTCCTTTAGAAAGTCACCAATCCAAAACTGATGCATGCTGGTCACCATGGGCTGCGTATTCTTCAATGCAGTAAGAAAGTACTAGTTACACCTCTCAGGTTTGCTTCAGACTGTTAAGATGATTCTATGGCTACACACTGTTGAACATCCTACATTTCCTCAAACAGCCTTGTGTAAACTGAATATACAAAGCACAGCTCTCCTAAGAGGGACAATGTCTCTGTGAAGTTGTACTTTTAAGTGTTTCTTCTTAAAGGAAGCATATTTTGCCTGAATTTCTAATTTGGCAGTTCGATTATACTATTATGCTTCAAAAATACTATTTTTTTCATGCTTACTTTTTCATTTTCATAGATGAGGGTTATTTTATCTGAAATACCTCAGTTCCCTGTACTAATGTTACACACACCCTTGGGAATGATTTCCTGCTCTGTAGCCATAAAATGCAAGGAGCTGTGGAGCTCCACAGCCTCTTCAAAGAGCAGCTCAGAGTGCTTTGCAACCAACAGACTAGGAAAAAATTTGCTCACTATTTCCTGAACAAAAATCTCCACATACTATATAGTTACTACTCCAATTAAAAAAAGAGTTCAAATTCAACATTCAAGTAGCATTCAATAGTTACTCTGTTAAAGGGCTCAATTTTAACATTCAAGCAGCAAAAAGCTGTTGAAGACAATCGAGAAGTAACCTCAGAACAGCGTCCAGAGAAAAGAAAGCTGTAAGAACTTTAAAGCCTATGCTTTAGCTTAAGGTTTTTTCAAATTTCCTGACTAACTTAGCACAGATCACTGCACCTTTTCATTGCTCAGTTTCTCCATCTGTAAAGTAGAGTAAATAAAGCTATTGAGAGCTCTGATAGCAGTGTTAGAATATATCCTTGTGACTGCCAGCTATGATACTGACTCTTGTTTGGAAGGAACAGATTAATCTGTACACAGACAACACTGTTAATGGTGGAAGATTATACTCAGCTCATCCTGTGGTTGCTACTGTCTATGTGCATCTCATGGTTTCTCTCTCAGTGAACAGGATTTTCCCATTAATAACTAACAGAAAGAGAATAATTTTCTGTGATCTATATACATTTAATTTCCATTTCCAAGACCAAATGGTTTATATAGCTGTTTATACAGCTGTTTATAAGCTACTGATGTCACATGATTCCATGTGAGTGTGGAGGCTGATGTGTGACCTGTGCAGGACATGGTCACCTGGGCTCTCACACCCCAAGTCACAGAGCATTGCAGAGGATGCTCTTTCCTGTATTATATTTTTCTACTCTTTGACCAAGCTTACCTTCTCCGACTGTTAACAGCAATGCACACTGCAAGAATCAATACAAGTGCCACAAGAGCAGCCACTATGATCAGCCATTCTATAGGGAGACATGAGGAAGGGGAGAAAAGCATGTTAACGTATCTCATGTAGTTTTGCAAGAATCTCATGTAGAACTGCAAGAACACAATTGCTTCTACTTTCATTAAACTGTCACTCTTTTCCTGCTTTGGATGGATGTTTGTTCATTTTACAAAATGTTTCTGTGTAAATCAAATGAATTTTGATCACTCAGCTATACACAGGCCAACTCAGATTAAATATCCCATCATTGTTATCACCCGTAAGTACTGCATTTTGGTGGGCATAGGTGGAGAGGAGTTGTATCACTGACTCACTCCAAGAGCAAAAGAAAAGGCTTAGCATGACACACCTACAAGAAGTAGGACAACATCTAGTATATTTTTAGTAAAGGAGGTTTCAAGACCTTCCCAGTAGCCTCTTCTCTGCTACCATTATAGCCCTACTACCATTACAGATGGAGGTCCTCTACAAAGAGCTAACTCCTTGATTTTGTTTGTTTGAAACAGGTCTCCCTTGTTTAACAAAACTCTTACACTTTATTTGAAACAAGTTACTACTTCTAATTAGTTAATTATTATTAATCTGTGGTGAAAAACTGATAAGCATTCTTTTTGTAGCGTGGTCTTCTTATATCTCCCCTCAGTTTTCTCTGAAAATGATGGGTTCTTCAGAAGGTGCTTCAAAGGTTACCTTTCCAAAATTTTCTGTATGCTCTTCTCCATTTTTTTGCCTATGTGAGTGAGCAATGCCTTGAACTGAACACAGAGCTTCAGCTCTGGACTTGCTAGGTCTAAGTAGAATGAGATAATTACTTTCTTTGTTTTAAAAATTACTTTATTGCTAATATGTCCCAGAATATATTTGCATTCTTTTGCAACTGTATCATGGTGTTGGCTTCTTTTTATTTTCTTTTATTCTGCAAACTCTATTCTGCAACACCTGGCTCAGCCATCATTTTTACTGAACATTCTCATGGATACAATACTGTGAATAGATCTTTAATGATATTTGCCTGATTTCTTATCAATTCATAAAAATATTTGGATCTTAATCCCATTCTCCAAATGCATGGTTTCTCTCATCCCAATATTGCTGGAAAATTTTATGAGTTATAATACGTTCCATTTTTTAGACTACTAGTGAAGTGCTGAATATTATTTGATTCATAACAAAGCCTGAACAATTGTACTTGACCTCATTTTCATCTCTTACTTTAGTTCATACGAGTGCAATTCTGTACTTATATTTTTAAAACATGACTTCACAAACTTACCTGGTACACGGGCCGACCTTGGCTGTGAATCTATTTTTGTTGTGGCGGTCTCTCCAGGGAAAGTAGTGGATTCATAATGTCCCTTGCGTGGTCCTTCGTTACCATATATACTAGAGGTAGAGCCTAAAGACAAGAAAAAAACTATCCATTAGGCCAAATATGCTTAGCAAGTATTTAACAGCAAGGTACAAAGACTATGACTTTCACAATTAAAAAAACATATTCTGGGAAGTTCATGCTGAAGCAACTTATAGTACTGAAGTATTTATACTGAAAACTATTACATGTAAGTATCATACTCATCTGAATTATGGCTAGCTTTAGTATTTTGAAAAATAAAACTAATGGCTTTCCCCTCTTGTCTTCCTTATATGTTTCTTTTTTTCGGGTGAATCAAAATGTGCTTATGATTGCCTAGAAATTTTCTGAATAAAATGTAAAGACATAGGTGTTGGTAACTTTTTAAAGAGGCTTTTGTCATACAGGTCAAACGTCTTGTCTGTTCCATGGGGAAAACAGAATGAGAAAAGGAGAGAGAAAGAGAATTTTAGTTTTTTATTTAAACCTAAAAGGTTTAAATGGAGAAATTTTGAAACTATTAATTCTATTCCAACACAGGATAAAACTGAATGTTAAAACTCTAATACTCACATTAAATAGAATGACAGCTCTCTGAATGGTTGTAAATTATCAGCAGAATATAGATACAGTCATTTCATTTGGGACTACTACTTCCTTATCACTACAAAAAATATATTACAGATTTCCACTTCTCTGAATTCTTCTAGTCTTACAGAGTAAATTAAGCACTGACTCTATTCAGCTGTAAAGTTCTTTTTCTTTAACACACATTGGAACTAATTTCTATCCAGCATTTCTGATCTCCTTTCCTAGTAACAGCTGGCAAATACAAAACCAAGAAGAATGTTTTTCCCCTCTTGCTTTGCCAGCAAGCAGCTCATGAATCTTCCAGATGTTTTCATTATTTTTATTAACAAGAAACTTATTGACTGGTGTGTTGTTTGGTGATATCTCACAACAAAGGACAGAGCAATAATTCAGCAGCTAAGGGTCCCAATCTAGTGTCAAAGAAAGCTGACATAGACGAATATACTGACTTGTCTACCCCACATCTCAGCAGACTCTTTAAGGTGCTTTATATCATCCTTAAAAATGCCAGAGCTTTTCCTTCACAAAGCCCCTTAGAAAGGCAGCATTATTAAAATATGTGTGCTTAGAGAATGTGCTACATTTGCTTTTCCCCTGACCACTGAGAAGAAGAAACAGGATTCAGTTGTGTCCTCTGCTGTTCTGGCTCTGGGAAGGTGCTTGCAAGTGGCAGGGAGGGATCCTCAAAAGCTCTCTGCATTTCAGTTTGGTAACACACTAGGGTTTTTTTCTTTATGGACACTTATTTTTGGGGTTCCTTCGGGGCACTGATTTGTTATTCTGCGGACACTTGGACACTTAGTGTGATGTCAGACCACAGCTTAAACACTGTTGTAGAAAAAAAAACAAGAGAAACAAAGTAGTATAGTATATCAAACCATCCATCTGTTCAGAGAAAGTCTTTAACTGTAGCCTGCCAATACATTCATGAATCTTTTCCATTCCATTACACTAATATGAGGCAACATTACAAATGAATGAACCATTCAGTAAATAATTTTTTTTTATGAAAATGGTAGTGTCCTAGTAATTCCCTTGTGTTGTGTTTTTAAAAAGCACCAAGAGAAAGTAAACGAAAAAAGGCAGAGTTTTAGGAAAACGGCCTTTTGCCAGGGCACTGACAATGCAAAGATTTGATGCGGATATTCACATTGAAAATTATCTTCAAACCAGTTCTGTGTGCTCAAAACAAAAAGTTAGCAAAAATCTTTTCATAATGTGTAATGTCTGCACATAAAATTAAGGAGGCAGCTTGGATTAACTGAGTGAACAGGGCCAGTGAAAGTCAAGAAATGACCTTATAACATTCTATCAAAAATATATTTTGCATTTATACTGCTATACCTATGTCAAAATACTATAACCAGGCAATTTTGTCAGAGTTGAATTTACTGGGTTTATATAAAATTTTTGGGAAAAAAAAAGTAGGCCAAGTTCCATCTCACAATGTATTAATTAATTATTAATAACAGAATTATCTTTAAAGCATTTGCTGTATAATGCTCTAAAAACATAGGTACCTAACCTTCCTTATGTGCAAAGAATGTCCACAGAGCATTGGCCAAATTCTACCCTGGAATGGTTCCACTAACTTCCAAGAAAGTGCATGAAAACAGTTTTTGGATTAGCGGCTTTTGGAAAAGAAAAACTAAAAATCCCTTACGGTTAGGATGATTATTTGTATGGAAACTACATTTGGAAATAAGGAAAAGTCCCTTAAGTTTGCAAAGAATTAGCATGTGACCACAGATAAAAAAATACCAAGGGATACATGTAGTATAATAAGCAAACACTGTTATTGTTAATTGCACTAACTTTATCAGAAGAATAACCCTTTAATAAAAAAAAAGTTGTTCTCAGATGAAATGTCAGTTACAGTCCAGTAACAGTAAAGAAAGGCAAAATGTTATCACAAATGTATTGGCATGAGGAGAAAGTTTAGACTTCTTCACGTCAATAACTGTGTTACCACATACTGATAACACAAGGTTATTTGCAAACAACTATTTACAACCTTTTAGCAAATACCCTTCATGACATCTTATCAGCAGGCTATAAACAATAGCAAACCCACAAAAGGAAATCATACTATGACAACAATTTACAGTTACAGTTAGTACACATGGGCTTGGACAATAGTCATTGTCCACAATAATAACTTACTGACGGATAAATTAAAATGTTCATAATTCATTGTTCTTACGAGTAGTAAGAGGGGTCTGCAAGCGGTTAAGATGGTCTTCAGCATCTGGAAAAATTGCAGGTATCCAACCGACATGGGAACCATCTGTGGTGTTTGCTGGTTCACTTTCCCTTCCAGGTGGAGTGCCAGGTGCCAGTGGCTCCTTGGTTGCTTTCTCTTCATTAACATCCTCCACAGATTCTGTGACTGGCATGATGGTGCCATGATCAGCTTTAAAACGGAGCACTCACACAAAACCACCACCCATATTGTTTTCACATTGTATTTCCATATTGCACCACAGCAAGCCAGAAAGCACGTCCACCTTCGTCATTCAAAGCACAGAAGGAGGGAAGAAGACATGAAGGTCTCTCCTTCTTCTTCCACCCTGTCACTGGCTTCTGAGAGACCACGAAGCATCACATCTCTGCTCACCATGTTGGAGCAAGACATTGGCTACATGTACAGATCCCAGTGACAGATGGAGAGGGGAGACCTTGAGGAGAAGCGACCACAGCAGCAACAACCTGACCATGTAACTCAGAAGTGAGAGGCCATACTGCAGCCAGACCTGTGTCAGTCTTTCCTGGCAATCCAAGGTGAGGAGAAGTAAGAAATTGATGGCAGAATATATGGGATGTAATTCTTCTATGATTGCACTGCACTCACCACTGGAACACCTCTCCCCTATGATGGTGCTGCTGCTGAGTCACAGGAGCAAGTCATCTGATTAACCTACCAGAGCACCTCCACCACACCAATCATGGTGCCAAAGCATATCAAGCCTGATCCCACTGATGCACAAGAAAGGAAGATGAGGCTGGGGATTCAGAATCACCAAAGTGCATATCTGACAGAATAGTTAGCAGGTCACCCAAAAACATGCTTCAGCAAAGGACAGAAATCACCAAGTGTACCAGTAAAGAGTCCCTTACGCCTTGTCTACAGATCCTATCACAGATTTTTGCATTGCAAGTCCACACTAAGAATGTAGATCCCCAGGATGAGAAAGATAGGAAGAGAAAGGAATAAACTTCAGAAGAAATAATGCCTCATTTCACACAAGCATGAGAAATGAGTATGATCCATTATTCTTACTGGTACCTATCAGATGAGAGTCATTACCAGCTTTGATTATACTGGCTGTGGTCTTGTGGAGGACTTCATCCCTGGGGGCATCTGTGGGATTTGTGATGCCTTCAGAGCCATGTCTTGATTCATTATCTGAAGGCAGAGGTGGTTGAGTTGGGTCTTTGTGGTGGGCATCATCAGGAGAGGCAACAGCTGTTACCATGATGTGAGTTGCCCACGCTTCCTGAGTAGTATCTTCTGGTACCAGAACATCAGTGGAGGCTGTGACTGTTGTGATGATGGCTAAGTTAACTTCAAAGACATTTTAAAAACCCTACCTTACAAATTTTTCCCTCTTTATTTAATTCAGCAATCTCTAGTCTTTTATTTATTAGCCTATGTAGAATATGTAGTGAGAAGAAAAAAAAACAAACCCCACAAGCAAAGAATATCTTCTGTATATGTCACGCTTTTTGGGTTGTCTGTTCCTTCACTAACACCCTAATAATAAAGTTTAATACCAATTTAAAATTACACTACTGAAAGTTATCATCACTAAGCAAAATCAGAAACCGAAATATGCATTTACAAACAATGCAACCTGAAGTGTCAGTTTTGAAAATACCTCACAAACACTACTTGGAAGGGCAAAAATAGTAATGTTATTTTCATAATAAAATTAGTATAAGAATTCCTGTTGTTATACAGGAATTACATTAGAATGGCTAAATTTAAAACATTTGAATAAATTGCTAAATCATACTTGCTTTTTCATATTTGCAACTGATCTGTCAAATCACATAAGCTTAATAAACAATGAACTGTGAAGCTTTACCAAATCTCCTTCATATTTAGAAAACAGGAGTAGGGGGTAGAGAATACAACTATACTTTAATCCACAAACTATATTTTAATTCACACAATCTTTAGCTTTCATAGGTCTTTGGCAAATCCTAAATGTTGTGGATTAAATAATTCTGATGAAAATGGACTTTGAAGAAGGGAAAGCATAAATGCTAATTTTTCCATAGAATTTCTTTTTTAGAAAATGTAAGAGACATGCAAAAACTTCCAAAGCACTATGATGTCATAAAAATAAGTAACATTATATTATATTATATGAAAAAGCAGTATTTTGAACTCGGGTAATTTTAATTGAGTAACATGCAGATCTTCGGACATTAAGTAGAACCTTGAAGAACTACATGAACAAACTCCAGTAAATTATTTCAAATTTCACAGTATTAAGAGAATATGTGGAAATATCAAGATCAGGAAAAGTCAGACATGAAAAGACATATTTAAATTTATGATTTATTTACACTACTGGCCACTTCCACAAAGCAACTGCTTTCTCAGTATTACCATCTACTAAAAATAAACCTGAGAAAAGTCAGGGGACATAAGACGGAGAGCATTCAGGGAAAAAAATATCCTTAAATAGGGAGCAAATCTTGTTGGGATATTCACATGCAACAAAATGATAAAAACATTTGCACTGCAAGTTCACAACAAGAATGTAGATCTCCAAGATGAGAAAGATAGGGAAAGGATACAAGTTTCAGAAGAAATAATGCCTCATTTCACACAAGCATGAGAAATGAGTATGATCCATTATTCTTACTGGTACCTATCAGATGAGAGTCATTACCAGCTTTGATTATACTGGCTGTGGTCTTGTGGAGGACTTCATCCCTTGGGGTATCTGTGGGATTTGTGATGCCTTCAGTGCCCTGTCCTGGTTCATTAGCTGAATGCAGAGGTGGTTGAGTTGGGTCTTTGTGGTGGGCACCATCAGGAGAGGCAACAGCTGTTATGATGGTTTAATAACAGATGATTTAAATATAGATTATTTAATCAGCTGTGAATTCCATCTGTGTGCTGCTGTGGCCTTCCCATTCCCATCTCATTCAAGTCTCCTTAAACCACTGTTACCCTTTTCTCAACACAAAAAGATAAGAGAAAGGAGACCTGTCCCGCACAGGTCTACCACTGCTCTCTCAAGGTTTTGATGAGACATTTTCATTTGCTCATCCACTTTTTTACTTAATAAAAAATATTCCCAAGGACAGTGGACACAGGGACATAGAGACAGCAGTCACAAGGATTCCCTGACCTGTGTCCCAGGCTGTCTACACAGCCGCAACTTCTGGGACACTGCCATGTGCTGTTACGGCATATTTTACATTGCAGGTATCCATACTGACAGTAAAGAACCCTTTCTACAGTCACTGTAGAAAGTTACTCAAGACACTGTGAGTGGTGACAAGTTATAATTCATTGTTCTTACGAGTAGTAAGAGGGGTCTGCAAGCGGTTAAGGTGGTCTTCAGTGTCTGGAAAAATTGCAGGTATCCAACCGACATGGGAACCATCTGTGGTGTTTGCTGGTTCACTTTCCCTTCCAGGTGGAGTGCCAGGTGCCAGTGGCTCCTTGGTTGCTTTCTCTTCATTAACATCCTCCACAGATTCTGTGACTGGCATGATGGTGCCATGATCAGCTTTAAAGCGGAGCACTCACACAAAACCACCACCCATATTGTTTTCACATTGTATTTCCATATTGCACCACAGCAAGCCAGAAAGCACATCCACCTTCCTCATTCAAAGCACAGAAGGAGGGAAGAAGACATGAAGGCCTCTCCTTCTTCTTCCACCCTGTCACTGGCTTCTGAGAGACCACAAAGCATCACATCTCTGCTCACCACGCTGGAGCAAGACTTTGGCTACATGTACAGATCCCAGTGACAGTCTTCAGAAGAAGAGACTGTATCATGTTTTTAGCACATTATTTTAATGTTATGAATAGTATGTTATATGAGATTGCATCATGATTTCGTGTCATGCCAGTTTTGTAAATTTTTTTCTCCCATCATTCTGTGAATCAGAGGGACAAATATTTTGATAAAATCTGTGAAAAGAACACTGTTTCCCCAGATGAATATTCACAAATAAATGCATTAACCTGTTGATATACAAATACACATAAGTATGAATTCAACTTTAAGATAAAGATAGTTTGGCAACACAAAGTAACATAACTTATGTAATGATCTGGATGCAATTTCACAGCCATGCTTCATCAAGGAATGGAAAGTACTGAAAGTGGTGTTGGCAAGAAAAGAACAAATGTTTTATACAGAGCTAAAATAGAAAACTTTTGTCTCACCACCATCCAGATGGAGCACAGAGAAAACTAGTCATTCTACAACTTATATTGTTATTTTAAGAGATTAGTAATTACCCATGTCTACAAGTTTATGCAGCATCTTTCCAGGACAGGCCACCTGAGAGACAGAAGTGATGCAGTACACATAACTGACATTATTAGTAGTACCTGTAGTGGAAGAGTCTTTCTCATGATTATTCCCTCTGGAAGGAATAGTTCTATCCGTTATAGCAGGCCATGTTGCATATTCCTCTCCGTTGTCCCAGCCTGGATATATCCATGGGTCTTGCATGGAGTCATTCTGTTTGGCCCCATGGGTGGAGACCATAGCTGTTATGATGATGATGATGAAGTAATTATGAACTCAGTATATAAAGATCCATTTCTCATATTATTCTCCTCTTCGGTTCTTGTCTCTATGACAGGCCTTGCTCACATGTCTACTACATTTAATGGCAAAGAGGAGTAAAGTAGATTTGCTTCTCATCCTGGTTTATGTTTAGAAAAGCTGCCTACTCTCATCAGTAGGACCAACTCCTTCCTCAAACCAAACATATGCTTTTCAGAATCAAGGTATCTTATTGTTTTTCAAAAGTATTTCCCTGAATCTTGCTGTTGACATTGTTTTGGTTGAATATCAAACCAATATCCACTGACTCAGAACTAAGAACCTCAAAGGCAGAAACAAATGCAAGGATATGACCCATCAGTAAGATTTTAATCACAGAATTTCAGTGCATTGACTGGATCCAATTTCCCCCCCCTCGAAATTTCACTGTTTTATTAGTTGCAGCATCTCCAGGAAAACAGACGAGGAAGTATGACAGAGGGGAATGCTAGCACATGCTACACACCCTAGATAAGACAGCATTCAACTGGAGAATATTTGATATCACAGTTATTTAGAAAAAACTTATCCATATCAATCAATCTGTAGTTTTTATTAGATAGTCATAGCAAAAGAGTACCTGAATCTTATAGGAAGCATAACCCTCCTTAGCCCCTTCAATACAATAAGAAATTTGCCACACTGTGTTACAATTTCAATTGCAACTAGGCTATTACATATTGCTATAGCAGTGTAGTATAATGTAAAATAGTGTAGTATAGTGCAGTGTAGTCTGGTAAAGTATGGCACAGTACGGTGTTTACACATTTATCTCTATCTCATATTGCATTGTACTGCATCACCAGATTTTTTAAGGACGGTGATGACATATCTGGGATTGATATCTTACAGCAATGTGGACTTAGGCACTACTGAAACAGTGAGCTACACAAAACTTTTGCTAATAAGATTAAATTTAGTTGAATGAATAGAAACAGCATCTAAGTTATGTTTGTGATATACTTCTCTTCAGAGACCTGTATTTAATAATTTGCAAGAGTAGATTGCTGGCAGCACATCTGTCATTAACTAGTAAGCTTGGTACACTCACAGGAACAGAAACTAATATATGCCAATTTTCAGTTACTAGCTTTAAGGTATAATTTGGTCTTTTATGTTTCAATTGATGCAACGAATGGAAGAGAGAAGCCTCTTTCTTATTCTACACTGTGCTTTGTTTTCTTCCCTTCATCACCAGTATCACACTGTCATAGTTCAAAAGTAAGGTGAGTAGACATTTTAGATAATTTTTTTTAGATATAATTGCCATATTAACAAAAACTGAAAAAAGAAATCCTGGGTCTGATAATGACTTGCAACAGGGGAGTGAACACAGGTCCCAGTGAATGAAATATACAACAGACATTATTAAACCTTCTCTGTTTCCTACAGATAAAACCCTGGTAGACAGCTTGTTAAAAGCTTGTGACTGCATGAGACACAACACAAAATGTAGGAGGCAGTTACGGAAGGTTACAATACTAAAGGTCTTGACCTGCAAATCAAATAGAAGAGAAAAAAACACCCAGGGACAGGTCTGAAAAATAATTAAAAATTAAAATTATTTTTGAATAATTAAAAATAATATAACATCAGAATTGCTCAGGGGTATTCACAGAATCTGTCCTATGGCCTCAGAATGCAAAAATATTAGTAAAAAAAATCCTAAAAGTAAACCTTCAGAAAGACTCGATAATTTACTAAAATGTGACCTGTAATATTACCTGTATGAGAAGATTCCTTTTCAAAATAATTTTCACCTGCAACAGTAAATTCATGTGGTTCAATACTCTCCGTGGTATTTGCAGGATTTTGTTCTTGACTGATCCCTCCAGAATGAATGGTGTATGATAGTGGATGTTGGGTTGGTCCTTGATTTTCATTTTCACTTGTAACTAGTGTTGATAAGATGATGATTGAATCAGTAATGATCAAAATACCCATCATCAGTCATATTCTCATATCATGGTTTAATAACAAAGACGCCTGGTTTTTGTGTTTTGGCTTTTTCTTGTTGTTGCATTTGATGTGAAATGAAAGATGAAAGAAAAAGTGGTCCTTTGGAAACCTTATGACACAAAACCATCACCAGGATCAGAAGAAGATTTAAGTGGGCTAGAAAGGATCCCAATGACCAATGGAAGAGAAAAGATATTGGAGAAGCAGCAGAAGAGCACATAGAAACAACAGCTTACACCTCTATTTCATATTCATTAGTACTAACTTAACTGTTGAGTCTGTTTATTCTGCATTTTTACAGTGAAAAAGTGGATGAACTTTCTCTTTTGAGTTAATATCTCAATTACACAATTACAAAGCCAGCCCCAAGGAAATTGTAATTTCTTCTGAGACTGGAAAGATGAAATAAGTAGGTTCATATATTCGAAGTTGATAAGCATACTTATTTTGAACTCAATAATAATTAAAGCTCTTACTCTTTAATTTACTCTTGCTTACACAGCACAAGATGCAGTCAGAAAGAAGCTGAAGTACCACCACCACAAGAGGTTTTCTATTGAGTATCAACAGGTTTGGAAAAGATACATCAGAAAAACCTAAGATGAGCACTAGAACTCAGGTAGAAATATATTTGCCTTAGGTATCAAAAATTTCCATGAGTGATATACTAAAAGTAAAGCAAAGGTCATTAATCAGAGCATGCAAATAATGAGTTGGACTTGTTATATATGCTAAGAAACCAGCTAGAGAAACCTATGCTACTTCCCAAAATGGGAAAAACTGGAGAAATATTTATTTTCACATTCAGGCAATGAAATAGTCATATAGAGAGCACTCATGAAAATGTAATCCATTCTTTTTAAATTAAACCTAATACATCTGTATCATCTTATAAAAAAAAGAGTTAATATTAACTAATGTATGAATACAACTGATCTAAAAATACGCCACAAATAAAAGAAAGTTACCACAAAAATTTTTTCTGGGTGATTACAGATCTTGTTCTAATGACAATTGTATAAACCTTCGCTGTTCAAAACAAGCTCAGGACCAGAAAGGCACAGCAAAAATAGCTTGAGAATGAGCTCTGTAAGCCTTTGCCTACAGAAGCTTCTAGCCTTGAATGCTTTGGTATCTCAGTAGGCTACTGGCACTAGCACTGGTAGCAAAATGTTCACATTCTTCTGGAGGATGATTTTTGTAGGAAAATTTCATGATTTTGAAACACTAGCTCCCTGTTTTGTCTTTTGTCTTCAGATTTTCAAATTGAAAATTTTGAAATGGAAAAAGGGATTTTTTTTTCCTCACCGAGGTTGGTCACCAAAAGTTACAGTCTACTCAGTTCTATTTTGCTACTGGTAGTGCAAATATAAAAATACCAGAAATGTGAGGAAAAGTGGCAATTAACTAACTTTAGATGCAAAAGATAGACTTGGAACAACAGATAGATGCCACCTATGAGGGCTCTAGTACAAATAATGTAAAGGCATTACACTGAACTAAGGCTAATGGTATGGGAATTATGAACAGCTGCACCATGAGTGTTACATTTACGTCACAAATCTGAATATTATCTGAAATGCTTGATTCCTTTACCCCTGCTAGGAGAGCTAGGATACTGCTCCTCTTCATCTGTGAAGGTGGGATTCCAATGATCTTGTGTGGAGATTTCCAGAAGCGTTTCGTGTTGTGAGTCCACAGCTGTTGGGACAATGGAGGATTGAGCGCTGACTATACTCTAAGTCTACCACTGTTCATGTGTGCCATAAAGGTGATGGAAAATGGAAATTCATGTATATCCTAACTACAGCCTCTCTACTCTTTTTATCAAATCCCTTAACATCAAACCAGTTCTTTTTTTCTTTGCGTTGGATAGACGAAAATTTTCCCAAGAAGAATGGGGAAAACAAGCAATAGAAGAATAATGTATAGCAGAAGTAATGTAAAACCATTACAGCAGTTAGAGACACTTAAACTCATGTTTGAAGAATAATGCTGGACCTAAGGAACATGGTAGATATCTTAATACATGTAAAACATGCTTGCTAAGTACCCAAGAAGCACTCAAAAAGTAGCATGCTAGAATATACAGCACTGAGCTCAAAAGCGATGTACGGTAAAAAACCGATAGCACCTTGAGAACCAGCAGGTCACCAATATTAGTGAAGAAAGTTATAATACAATTAAAAAGATAAAATAAAACTTCCACAAGAGTCCATGATCAGAGACTGTATACACTTTCACCCATGCAGCATGCAGACACTGCTAGGCCATAGAAAGTATTTGGAATGCAATACACCAGTGGAATAAGTCACCAGTGCAGAGTCTCAAAGATAAATAAATTAACAGCAGAAATACCCAAAACACAGGCAAAAGAATAAAATGCCCCAAAGCAAGATGATTTGATGATTTTGCAATTTCTTCTAAAAGCAAAGACCACTGCTGAAAAAATGCAAATACTGAACTGTCTCCAGAAAAATCAAATGCTTTTAAACAGTGATTTATAAACACTGTTGAGTAAATAGGAGCACAAACAACAGATACATTAAGATGTACTTAAATTAAATAAAATTACAGAAATAGAACAGAATTATCTTTGTACAAATAAGAGCATTAGAGTATAGTCATCAATGGCAACTTCTGTGCTAAAACCCCCCCGGTCTTTAAGTCAAGTACCAGAGTGTGTGCTTCAGTAACACACAGCATTTGGCTCTGATCTTCACATGTGGTGGTTTTCTGGTTTTCAGAAAAAAATTATTTCAGGTATGGATGGCTTTTGAATTTAAAAAGAGTTATCAGATGATGACTGCGGGACTATTCCTATCAGGAAAATAAAGCTATGTATTAAAATACCTCAATTATCATGTTGGATCATGCCTAGACATCTGAGGTCACAAAATAAATGAGATGATGTTAGAGGACTGCATGGGAAGAGTGTAGAAGGGAGCGAATATGAGACTGTTTTGTTGACAATTCCCAATGAAAAAGGCACTTAGGCTTTGGCCTCCTCAAATTATGCCTGAACATCTCCTTCCACAGACAGGAAGTCTGGTATTAAATAGTTGTAGATTATATATAGGATGAACTAGAATTATTTTAACACTTAAAAAAAATTCATAGAAAGAAAGATAAGTTTTTTTTCATCTTGGAAAATCATGAGTGAATGAAAACATTTGAATAGGCAAGAAAATGAGGTGGTAATTTTAAGTAGTGATAGAAGAGATATTACTTTTATCAATATGGAGCTCAGATAATTTTTCCAATCACAAAAGAGATATTTCTGAAGGAACAGATGATGAGGACATCATCCAATTTTCACATAATATGTGTGTGGCAAAGGAGGAGGAACATCAAGTGTGAAAGGAAAAAGAAGAAGGAAAGCATCCAAAGAGAAAGCAAGTTCCTTACTCGTACTTGGAGAACTCTTGTCCTTGGCCACACTCCTGCCCCAGCTGGGAAACAGTGTTGGGTACATCATTTCCTCTGAAGAGTCTTCATCATCTGAACCATTGCCACTGGAGGTCACATCTGCTGTGATGATGTTAAATCTGCCATGAAGCCCTAAATCACAAGGCCTTCTGCTGGCAGCAGTTAGACTTTCTTGCCTCCCCTACATGCAGCCTTACAATTACAGAGGAGAATATACAGAACTGTGCTTCTCATGGTCCATATCTCCTCCTGGCCTTTTCACTCAGAAGGGATGCATCGCTTTGCCACAGCGCAGCTGAAGCTCCCCAGTGTGGTACCCTTTGCACATTCACAGCATTAACCATACTCTGTCCTCTTCAGCCCCTAATCAAAATGCCCTCTTAGCATGACATTCTTTACCCTTGGTTGCCTGTGTGGCTTCTTGCGTCTTCTCTCCAGGATTTGACCACCACCAGTGGTCTGGAAACAGATTCCACCAAGCTTGGGTGGTGGTTTTCTCTAGGTTGTCATGATGAGGCCCTGGAGCTGTTAGGACATGGCCCATTTAACCAAGTTCTTGTTATTATTTCTTGAGAAGCACTTTTCCTCCAGGAAAGTCAAGTCCACTAGCACCAGCACCCTGAGCACCCTCATGCCACAGAGACGGATGTGAGTGCAAGGCGAATGTATGAATCCATGGTATCATTACATTCCTCAAACACATCGCTCGATGCAAGCGCTTCTGGCAGTCCCAGGAAAGAACACAGTGCCTTGAGAGGAGACATCAAAAAGCCCTGTGGGTTTTCTCTAGCCCTTCACATGCCATAAAGTTAATGAGCTCCTCACAGGCTTTGACAGCAGGAGAGAGTAGATAGCCTTAGGCTCCAGAACGAGGAACATCCACCAAGATGACATAAAAGGTGAAAGAAGTATCCATGTCACGAAAAAAGGTGACCCACAGATAAGCACATCCAGAGAAGCAAACTGCTCTGCTACTGAGAATCCCAAGAAGCCAATGCTGTCAGAGACCTGGGCTCAGAACTGCCGCTATTGAGTCCACTCAAAGGACACATGCACTCCCCTTAGCCTGATGCTGTCAGCTAAATCCACACCAGAAACACTTTTCAGAGTAGGCGTCAGCATAGCGTGAAGAGAGAGAGATGCAGCTTTATTCCTATCACATGACCAATGCACAATATTTTCTCAGATCAGAGCATATCAAATAGTCAATTCCAGAGGTTTGTGACAGGCATTTACAGATGGAAAGAGATTTCTCCTTAGAAAAATCAGAGGAATCTACAGTGTTTTCATCCACTGTGCTAGGCAAGCCAAATGGGTATTGGCATGCAAATAGAAATAAAAGTGTCTATTACATATGTATGAACAAAATCAATCACAGTTACTGTTTGAGTAGGTTGCTCTGATAACTTAGAAGGGTATTTCATTGATCAATAACAGAATTTTACATCTGACTCCTGGTACACCTTCAGATGAATCATAATTTGTTAGTAACAAAGAAACTTTTTTCATCCAGGAGAGGAAGTTGATGGCAAAGTGCTGAGAGTGTATTAATCTGGACCATTAACTTGATGGAGAACATCACCAACAATGTCTAAATCCAGAGAAATACCAAAAGGGATTCTCTGAAGAACAAAGAGCTGTGAATATTGTTCATTTCAAACCCATAGCAAAGAAGTCTTTAGATTAAGCCAGATACCTTTTCACAAAACTTTAACTTTACAAATGGTGTGTAATATAGATTGAGAGACACCAGTTTTGTTTCTCATTTTAACACACTATAGAATTAGATAGATATATTTTTAGCCCTCTGTCAGAAGATATATGACAAATAGTATTCTTTACTTATTTCTTAATTTTCTACTTTCCTGTCTGTGGGATTTTTCCCTGGGAAATTAAACTGGATACTCCACTGAGCCTGCACTGCTATGGAATCTAAACAGCAGATATTGGGGTGCAGCTTCATCTTCTTTTTTTGATTGTTCTCCATGTAACTTCCTCCTACACTACTGAATTTTTGATTACTTTTTGATTACAGAGATGCACAGCTTATACTTAACTTCTTTCTGAAAGGACTGCTAAGTTATTGATTCATTTGTAATGCAGTAAAATTAAAATAACTGAGTCTCTTTGGCTTTAAAGTGGTGTTGCTGATGTTGCTAAATCTATCAGAAAAGCCCAGGTGCATTACTTTCATAATTTTTTTTCCCAGAGAACCAATCTATCAATGCTAAACCAGTAAACAATCATGCCAATGCCATCACTTCTGTCATACACATATATCAGTATTGACATATTGTATTACATTGCTTTATAGTTATTTTGATCTTTTAAAATCTTAAATACCTCTAGTTTTCCCTCTGTAAAATAGTCCTGCCCATGAGAGAGAACTGTTAGCAACAGGAAGGGACATATATATCTAGGATCAATACATTTGATAATCAAGTAGTAAAACGAAAACAGACAGCTTTCCTGCCTGGAAAAAAATGCACAGGTTTTTGCAGTGCGTACAGAAACACCTGTACGAGGAAACACTAAGTCACACATGCATACAAAAACAAATACATATGAAGGTGGAATTTCCTCCACGCTTCTACCCCTTACGGGCAATATTTTGTAATAAAAGCTCTTGCTTGAAACAAGTGCCAGAAAATTTTCTACTTTCTTTCAAGGTCTGGGGTAAAATCAACCTAATATTTCTTTTCCTATCTACATATTTATAAGCTATTACTAACCTTCACATCCTCTGAGACAAGATGTTTGGTTTTAGTGATTTATGTCTTCTAGCAAGGCTTTTGCTAACTGTGTAAAACAAACGATCAGTCTTACTCTACAGTGACAAGGGTACCACCCTTCCAAAGCACATAGACCATTTGACCACCTATCAGCAACCAACAGACAATCAAGCAAGTTCCTCACTTTCATGAATTTCCTTGGTGGGGGAAAAAAAAAAGAGCCAGTAGGAAGAAACTTTCATGTCTATCAGTTCAATCTTTACTACAATATACCTCTGTAGATTTCCTGTGTGTAATTAAAATGTTCTCCCTTTAGGTTCACTTTATTTTCTGGGGCAAAGATCTTTATCACTCTAAACTTAAGAACTAATGTGAACATATGTACATTACTTCCATTTTAACATGTGTAAGATGACTTCAAAAGCTTTTTATTTGTTGCAGCTGCTGTGCATTACATATTTGATAAAAACATCACAAGCAGTTTTTCTGATTCAATAAAGCTATTTAAGGACAAAGGTGAGAAAAATGGCTAGTGTTTTTTGATTCCTCAAAGCCTGTGGAGCCCAAATTTTCTCTCATGCATACTGCCAACAACAAGGGTGAAATTAATTTTTGCAGTGCACAAATGGCTTGGCAATTGGAACCATATAAAGGATTGCTTTGGTTAGCGAGGCCATGTTTTTGACACAGATTACACACATTCACAACCATAAATATATTAGAATAACAGAGACTTTTCTCCCAAATTGACAAAAATGTCCTTTTCTACCTCAGACATAAATTGACTTCAAGTAATAATTGGTTGTACTAATTTGTGGTGCCTCAGAGAGCAAACAGGTGTGATAAAACAGCACTGGAAAATGTAAACCAACAATCTCTCTGAGCTCATGTATAAGCATTGAATTAAACACACTGTAAATGATTTTGTTCCCACTGTCTCAGAGAGTGAAATTCATTTCTGACTTAACCAGTTTGGAAAGTAGTGTCTTTCAATGTCTTTCCAATATTTGAAATGTTGCATACCTCACCACTTACCAGAATGCCCTTCTGGAAGAACAAAGCAGTTTTAATGCAATCTATATTTAATGTAGTTGTTATGAAATGTAAATCTTACTAGTAGTAGCATGATAATGTCCACCATCTTCTTCATGGAAATCATCAGCCACTGTCCCGAAAGAGATGTCAGGTGATAGAGATGGAACTTCATCATCTGTATGGTGATGGATAAATCATTACTATTTCATTAGCTGAGTTAGCTGAGTTGCAATACAGTATTTAGGAGTAGTTCAGTTACTCTATACTGCCAGCTTCATTCCTTCATTTATTGGTCCAAGAGAGGAGAAAGATACAGACTAGATTCCTCTCATAATTCAACCCCGCATAACCTTACTTTACTAACATAGTAAGGATATCACCTTACAGATTATTTCAAGAGGAGTATGTATTACAGTGATAATGAATATTCTGACAATGATCTGTTCACGTGATACAAGATTTAAATGCTACCTGTATACCATGTGGACAGGGATTCTAGAGGAGTGAATGAAGCTTTTTGTATTCCCCTCTACTGAGATATATTCTGAGATTTAGTCCAAAAATTTATACTCTGCATGCAAGCAGAGTTGATAACAGCTGTAATGGCAATCAGTTAAAATACACAGCATACACCTTGGGGAATGGTTCTGATCCCAGTTCCTTCGGAAAAAAGTGTTAGGATTTACCATTCATGATGCTAACTATATGGAAAAACAAGCATAACATATCATGAGTATACCACAAGTGAAGAGTAATTTTATAATCCTAATACTTCTGCTCTTTTTTTTTTATTTTTAATTTAAGTATATACTGAAGATAGTGAAGTAAAATACTGTTACCCTTCACTGGTAAGTTACGGGTGATTTGATAAATAGCCTGTAGTCACACAGTAAACTTTACTGTCCTTAGAGGATGACTTATATTTGTATCCCTTCAGTTCAATTGGAGCTAGTCTTTCAGACTTCAGATAATTTCATCCACACAAGAACCATAAAAGATGAAATAAAATATATAGAAAAGAAGATGGCGTTTCTATTTGGTAGGGCTTCATGAAATTTGAATTTGGCTTTACTACCTAAAAGAAGTTATTAATAACATTTTAATTTGACATATCTATCTCCCTAAGCATTCTCTAATATGCAGTAGTAAGATGATGTCCTAAAAAACCTCCTGTATTTATACAAAGAGAAATCTCTTCTATTGTAAACTCCTCCTCATTCTTATTATTTAATGTCATTTCATTTAGAAAACAGATAAGAATGTTATCCTTATCTCTACATATGCTTCATACTCACATGCAATCAAAAAAATGCTTAGAAATTTAGAATGCCTCAGTTTTCTTTCAAAGACACACATTCTCTCTTTTTTTTTCTCCTGAATACAAATTAGAGATGGTACTTTTCAATCCCTTATTATATCCTTTAACTATCAATGTAATCTTTCACTCACTTATATTAAAGGGCAACCTACTGTCCGTACCATAGTCTTTTCCAGGAGTTCCTTTTTCACCCCCTCCAGAAGTGTGATCTGGCAGCTGTGAGACTGGAGTAGCACTTCCATAATATGAGGGGCTGGATCTCCTGATGGAAGTATCCATGGGAGTTGTCTCATGAGTTGATCCACTACCTACATTTTCATCGTCTGCACCTGAAGTTGAGGACTCTCCACCGGTATGACGTGTGCCATCTGCATTATAACGTGAGCCATCTGCATTGTCAATGACTGTGGAAAGAGGGAATTAAGCAGCTAATATCAAGGAGCTACATAGCTATATTTCAGTAATGCTAAACAGTTTTAGTTCTACAACAACAAAAAAAAAATAAAGAAAAAAACACTTGTGAATTAATACCGGTTCATCCATTTTTGCCATCCTAACCTGTCTAGATAATACTTCACTAAAACATGTCTAATGTATATATGCTAGTTTACATATTTCTCAAATACGTAGGGCCTACCCTGCATCACTTATTTCCACCAAACATTTTGGTTTTAACATAAAATCTCGGCATTTGTAAAGTCAATCAGAATTTCAGAATTGTAACAAATAATTTATTATGAGCATTTTCTTCCACTTCCAGCTGCTTTTCTAACAAACGGCTCAAATGAGATGTAGAAAGGTTGTTGTCTTAAGCCAAGTTTTATGTGTCAAAGAGATATTATCCACTCTGAGATGCTAAAAATGTCAAATACCTATATAAAAAAGTGTTTGGTAGCACCCTGAAACAAACAAAGCTCCGTAAGATTTAGGGGAAAAGAAGTGACCAATTGTTTTAATTTCTGTTTAATGTCTCTTAACTTCTTTTTCTTATGTTTGGTTTGATTTTTTTAATATCAGTAATTGTTTATATAAAAAAACATAACCAGATACTAAAAACTGAGCAAGTGCATGTCTTTCTAATCAGTACAGTACCTATTTCATCTTGATTACTGAGGAGAGAAGTATCTAGTTTTTCGACTGGCTCACACCCTATGTCCCTTGTTTCTGTGAAAGAAGGAAAATAGAAAGTATTAATTTGAGAAAATGAGTATAAAAGTCATATGTATACCCATATTAATGGCATGTAATCACAAAACATCAGCTTCAGATGAGGACAGTTGGAAACAAATTTCCAAAAAATTTTATTCACTGATGTACCTACTTTCCCTTTTTTCTCCTTCTGAGGTGGAACACTTCAATATTGTTAGTTCTGTCAGCTAACAATTAGATTCTCCATTTCCATAGCCATTCCAGAAAACAGTTGCAGTCAATGCCAGTTAAAACAGCCTTATGACCCAGTTTCAATGCAGGCAGCCCCATTGTCATGATGGAAGTGGCAACCCTAACCCTCTCTAACTGGAGAGACTGTCCCCTCCATGGAGGGCTCTGCACAGGTAAAGTTTGCCCTGGTCTGGTGAGCACTGCTTCCTCCAGTGGGCTGAAGTGCCACATTTGGGGCCAGTGTGTAAGCTACCCAATCATACTGGTGGAAGGGAATAATACTTGGGAGGAGTTATAAAGCTCTGAGGGCAATGGACATCACTGTAGCAGCAGAATAGTCATTTGCAAGTATCAGAGGATGGCAGTTCACATACTATGCCAATACTAAGAATGACATCAGAAAATGTCACTGCCACCTAAATCATGAATGATTTTTTCCTGCAGCTTTCTGTAACAACTGTCTGTGAATGTCACAATCTACTGAAACTAAAGCCACTTGAAGTTAGTCCAGATTTTATCTTAAAATATTGTGTTCAGCATCTGTCATGGACTACCCACATTTTCCTAATAATTTAATAAAATATTTCTATCTACTAAAAAGTTCAAAACCTTAGACAAAAGTGGTCTGCTTCTGACCCACGTTGCTGTCTAGCTGCCTAATGTCTGAATGGAGATTTGCCTAAGCAAATACTGAATGAACCTACAAACAGGAGAGCAGCAGCCATGTCCACGGGCCTGGGATGGCCCTCACTGCTGCAGGTGGCAGCCACTCCTGGTATTCCTGAACACAAGTAACTGCTTTTGGCTATAGAAGCTCATGTGCGCATGAACAGAAGAGCTGAATGCCAGCACTGACAACACTTGTGTCTTTCAGATTTACTGCTGCAGTTGTTCACTTCACTAAGCCATTATAATGAAGTGTTCTGAAGCTACTAAGTTACTCCCAGAGGCAGAAAAAAAGTTTAGGTCAAGTCACACTAGTAACAAAATGGATCAAATTCATTGCTGGCATGATAGTTACACTTCTGGAGTTTGAAAAAATGTATTTCTCCTCAGCTGAAAAAGAGATTATGTTTATTATAGAAGCCTTCATTCCAGTACCTTAAATAGGAGATTACATACATTATTTTTAGTTGATCTGTTTCTAAAATACGTCATAAAATCACATACGTACCTGTCTCATTGTAACAATATGCATCATACCGACCAGTTGTATTTGCTGGGAGCTTGTAAATGCCAGTATGGTTTGCTGCACAAAGATGATACGGTCTGATTCGTGGGATAACAATATGCCCCACTACAAAACCATACCTGTGAAGGACAGAGGTAAATAAACCATATTACTTACTATAACAGATGGCACCTCAAACATGAAGAAACTACAAAGAAGTCATAATTTTTTTAAAGTGTATGCCTTTATGCATACTTTTTTGTTCCTTTTTCATGGACTATCTCTGACCACTTACACTCTTTCGTAAGTAATTTCTAGAATTTAACCCATTTTAGCTAAATAAGCATCTTATTTGCTAGAGCAATTGATTCCAGAGCAAGGCAGTGAAAGTGAAGGAAGCAAGTGCACTTTTTGTTCAGTGGGAGGTTGTATTACCTGACACTAAAGACTGGATTGTTTCTCCTTTAGGGATTCACATTTTCGTTGCTTTGACATAACATAATGCTCAGTGACATTCCACACAGAAATGAAATGTTGGGGGCTCAATTTATGGTACCTGAGCAAACTTAAAGAATGATTGTAACACATATCATTTTCTGCAAAAACTGACAGCTTAGTAAAATATTCAAATACAGCAGTCATTCATTCACAAATTCTGACTCTATCTTTCAGTTGAACAATGTGGATATTGTGTACAGAGCTCACATATTTCAGTGAAGACTGTAGTTACACTAGGTACAATACATTATTACTATTTTGCAATCCTTTAACAATTGATTCCAAAGTATTTAACTGGGATATGTGATAGAATTGTAATAAGAACTGGGGCTTCATTTGGGTTTTGTTTCACTTCTTGAGAGGTATGATTTGTCATGGAGGAGTAAATGTCATAGCTTTGCAGTTTTTTATCTATGAACATCATTCCAGTTACACATCTAATGTGCAGATACTTGTAGTTCTGAAAGTGTCTTGTAGGTGGAATTATAAATTACTTTACTCACACTCCCAACTGACACCTTATTATTGACCTATTTGTGTTATGTTCTGTTGATTCATCTTATTCACTCACCATCTTATTCATTCACATTTGACATGTATTTTGATGATTATATATAGTATATTTTTCCTGTCCTATTCAAGCTTAATAAGAGCTAAGGCTTACTGACAGGGACCTCTAGCACAGGATTGACAAATGAAAGTAAGAGGGAGGGTTGACCAGGAGGGAGGAATCCTATCTGTATGCCTTACACATCCAAATCTGTCCTCTGGTAAACTCTGAATTAGGGAAAATTGTAAAATTAAAAAAAAAACTACAGCTCCCCACTGAAAAAAAAATAATCCATCTTCTTCTTTCAATTAGCTTTATATTTTAACTTCAGAAAAAACTTTCCATTTTGAAGAATACTCATAATTGATAGCACTAGAAATCTCTACCCCTAGGCATTAGTTAGGATTTGATCTCTACATATTATGTAGTGCTGGGCAACTCAGACTGCTATGTATGTTCATCTGCCAATGTCAGAAAAAAAGAACATGCTTACTATGTTATGAAGGATTTTTCCCTCAGAGTAAAAAACTGTTTCTAGTCTTTATGTGGTACAATTTTAAATTACACCCACTTCTCACAGAAGAATCCAGTAAGAATTCTCTGTCCACTGTTCCCTGACAATTTTGTCCACATCTTTCACCATCATAATACTTGTGAAAATGAACATCGCATGCTGTCATCAAAAGCAGTGCATGACACTATTATGTATAAGAAAGTTTTCAAAGCACTGTGCATAGTAAGTTTATTATGTATTTTTTAAAGCAAGATCACATGTTCATATAGTGAGATGCATTTACAGACCACAGGACTGTATTGACTCAGTGCTTGAACAGAGGGCATCCTTAGGGAAAATATTTCATCTTGATGAGATTTTTGTTACAGATTTTGTTGTATTACATCATTACTTATAGAAGATAATTAAGTCACTTGACAACGTGGTTTGGGGTTTTTTAATAATTACTATGTCTGTCTTCTGAAACTTCTCCATTCACAGATTATAAGGATGCACTGATACTGTGGCTATTTTTTTGTTGGGATGCCAAGAGTTCATCCCTCATGATGCCACTTGCTGCTTTTTACTGTTCCTTGACAAGAAACAGTGCAGAGTTTTGTATACCATATATACCATATATACCATCTTCAGTCTTTGACCTTACGTTAGGTCCTTACTTTTCACATACTTATCCTACTCATTACTCAGCGATACAGTATGATCGGAACATCTTTCTGATTAGTTTATTATACTGTCAATGTTTTGTAACCTTTAGATTTTATCTGTGAGAGGTTATGATTTTTTAAAAGATAAGTGGTAAAAACTATACGCATCAAGAACTTATTTATTACTGGGCCCAGAACAAACATACACATGCACAAAGATGTTTTGTTCATTACACAATATAACTTATTTAACTGCTATGACCATCTAACTGCTATGACCATCTTAGCAGCTATAGGAAGTCAAATATAATTATTACACTATAGCATGGATGGATTGACTTGTCATGGTATCTTATTTTTTCAAGAATTTCTTTACCTGCAAGTTTCAAATCCAAGTTCATGAGCTTTCTTCAGTTGTTCTAGTGTTGCCAAGGTACTATTGAGAGCTCTGCAGAGTTTGACTGCTTCAGGTCGTGTGAGACTGTAGCGACCATTTTTCTCAACATGAAAAACTCCTCCATATCTGCAGCTTACATTGAATTCTGTTATCAAAGAAAAAGAAAAAAAAGGTGTTACAAATTGTTAGACCTAATGCTTCGCTGAAGACATGGAAATTGTTTATTTTCAAGTATAGTATTTTCAATGTAAACCACCAAGAAGTAGCAGCTAACAATTCATTCAGAAAAAGCACTACCACTTTCAATCACGTTCTTCATACTTCCCCTCTTTGCACTGAGGCACAAGCCAAATCTTCAGCCTTTCCAAAAATAGCAATACAACATGTTTTTGTGAGATATCTAGCACTTTTAACATTCCATTAACAATAATGTGCAGACGATACACTTTGTGAAACCTTGGAAGCCACACTGCTGCAAAACTAGGTGAATAGTCAGATGTACTTGAAAATAAAATATTTCATTCATAACAGGTTTTTTAGAAGATGAAATGGGGTATAACAAGAGGTTTTGTGATCATTAAGTTCTTTAATTATCTTATTGTGATCCCTTTACAGTGTATGAATTTATATGTCAATTCCCAGTTTCAGAACCAGTTCAAGTAACATGTTCCTTTTATGTGCTAGACAAAAGCAGAAAGTGGTTTGATTTTCATGATCTCCTTGAGATAAGAACTATTCATGGTCTACCTGAGACAAAAACTAAGTCTGGACTAGAACAACATTATGTTGTTAAATACTCCCTGAAAGATAATCTTTAAACTCTTCATATTCAGCCTGCTGGGGCAGATAAAGAAGTGTCAAATACACGCTATATAAGAGTTCACATGAATTAATTTCTCGCCACCTGTTCATTCATCTGACAATATTTCCCTCCATTTTGAAAGGTTTCTTCCTGCTCAGTTCATGCTCTCTCACAAACATCTTACTGCCAACTCATGTCAGAGTTTCAACATGTACTGCAGTGTTCGTTTAATGTTAAAGGTTACCTTGGATGGATTTTAACCTAATAATACCATAAAGGCTTGCACATAGAAGCAAATTTCAATGGCAAAATGTATGAGGATAAAATTAAAAAAAAATAGTTTATACAGTTAATACAATTCATTTTCTGGCCACAAGCCTGGCAAACCTGAACAAGCAGTATTTGCAAAGCCTGAGTGAGGGGAGCACCTCATCCAAATTATTAGAGACACTTAATGAAAGGCATAAGGGCTAGAGGCTCGGAGGAGATCATCCTCCATTCATCTTTTTGTTGGAAAAATACTGCCTGCATAATGCAACAAGTGGGGAAATGGCATAATCCAGGAAAATTTGTGACCGACAAAATGAGAGAAAAAATAAATATTATCTGTCATCTTTTTTAACAGAAGCAGCTAAAAAAAGAGTTAATAATAATAATATTACCAATAATAATAATACAAATAAAAACAATCATGTGCATGGAGAAAAATCAGGGAAGAACAGGACACTTCCAAGCAATGTAAATTGACTTTGTTTTTGCCCCACCTTTCCCTCTAGAGAAAAAAAGCAATTGCAACTGCAGACTAGAATGACAACAGCAAAGCACACTTAATAGGAGTAACCTATTATTACCAGTGAGAAGAAGAGCATGACTCATTTTTATCTTATTTTTAGTGGAAGTTCCATGTGCAAGAAAGGGAAAAATAGACTAGTCTCCTCCAAATATCAAAAGGGTGTGTTTGTACCATCTATTTGAAAAAAAAAAAAAAAGACAAATAATAACTGCTTTTCTGAAGGACCTGAAATGCAATTCATACACATTTCCATTGACACATGTGAACAAGTAACTTTCCTAATGTTATTCTTGCTTGACAGTCTATTTTCTTCTATAGTATAGATGTGAAAGCAAATGATAGTAAATAAGGCATGCACTCTTTCTTCAATTACTTTTGTTCATTGGCAAACTGACGTTATTCTATGTACAGTGTATCTACTAAGTGTAAACTGCACGGAACATTCCTTTACAGAGCTCACAGGAAACAATCAAGGAGATAAAACACCAGATTAAACCCAGACTGTATGATGCATGAGAAGACAATCATTATTCATAGCTTGGGTAGAGTCCAATAGTATTGATGTTTGCTTGACCAAAGGAGCTCAAAAGCTGTGCATCCAGTCTTGAATACTTTTACCATAGGCAACAAAATTAACCATTATGGTTACTTGGATTGCCTTTCCCCAAAAAGAATGTACAAAGTATCTCTGCTCCCTCCCCCCCCCAGCTCCCCCCCTTCAGTATTTTGGCTGAAGAAAAAAATTTCAATTTAGACAAAATCAATATACATTGCAGAGCTGTTTAACAGCCTTGCTAATTACAATTGTTAGTGTTTGTATTATCATACGCTATTAAAAAAATCAAGAACACATAATTTTTAGCTTTGTAAAATTTATGCAGGACTAACATTCTCTCAAAATGCCTTTTTTTGTTTGACATAGTTGTTTTCTTCTTCCAGGGAAAAATAGTTCTGCAGAAATTTCTCTGATGACAGACATGTCATAAGAGGTTTTGAAGGCAAGAATGAGGAACCTGTTTGGCAGAGGACACTAAAAAATACATTTCTCTTTCCTGGAGGACTTAATGTCCTGCAACAGGGGTTAGTTTCAGCAAGTTCCCACACGTGATTCTGAAATTGTGACAGTGCTCCCCACAAATGCCAGATGCAGATGTGCACAGCACTGGTCCTGGGAATAGTTGATGGACTTGAGACCTTCTGTGGCCACAGTCCTGACTGAACACCACCACATGCTGAAAAGTCATCACCACATATGTGCAGTGTCACAGATGTAGTCAACAAACCACAGGATGTAGATCCCAATAGATATTTCCTTATAACAGCACAACGAATAGCTGCTCTGCATAGAAGGATGTGGCCCTTCTGCCACTCCTTGGCTACTCCTATGGGATGGAGCTGCTCTTGCAGCTGCCATGCAAGTGACTTCTACTTTTGCTACAAATGTTTCATATTCAAAGACCGACATTATCTTGGAAGTTGTCCAGTCATTAGCTGTATTAAACATAAATGACCTAGACAAGAAAAAGGCTTCTCTTTGGTTTTTCCTTCTTGATTCTCTCTTCCCTGTAGAACAAAACAGGCCGAAATTTGTTAATCATGAAACATATTCTGTGAAGTCCAAGACTTAATATTATATTTGGGGATCAGATCACAAAGTTCTGTTTGATTACTTAAAAGTAACAGGCTCAGTGTTCTTGGAGACAGATTTGCTTGAAACATCAACACCTTTTCTGATAACTTTAGGCTAATTTCTGAAGAACTGTGAAAGCAGATGGGTGGCATTTGATAGCAGTTAATCCTATAGTCACTGAATCACAAAGTGAAGTTCACTTTTGTTTAGAGTGAGTTCATTTAACTGTCTTCAAACCTCAACCCATTCATAGTTTTAAACATGACAATATATGCTCCATTAACACCCAGCTACTTAGTAATAGTCAGAATTCCTCCGAGAGTCAATTCCTTAGACTTCAAGAGTTTAAAAAATTAGGCTTATTTACACAAATAGGCTTAATGGAACTACTTGTAGGCTACATGCCTATGCATGTGTACATTTTTCATGGAAATGCTTAGCCTGGATCTACAGAGCGCATACTGCACACCAGGACACTTCTGAGAAGTATCAGGCTTATTGCACATGTGCTGCCCAATTGCACTGCATGCCCACACAGGAGGACCAAAGCTCTCAGGAAGCCTTGCTCATGCAGCATGAGAGATCACGTGGGTGTCCGGGAAACCCCAGGCAAAAATGTGGCAATCCAATTCTCAAAACTGGGTTTAAGGCCATCCAATTCCTTGGCACTGTGCCCTAAAGTAATGCTGAGACAGCATGTTTGTTTTCACTTTGATGATATCTTCTACGCCTACTATTAAAAATGTACCATTGCTGTAGTATAGACACTCTGTTCATGAAGAAGTGAATACAGAAAAAGGACTATCACAGTACCTAAAACTCACACAATATTTCACAGTCTAAGGCAATTGCATAAATTCAACATCTAGTTTTTGAAGACAGTAATTACCACATTTTAAGAATGTCAAAATACAAATGCAGAGCACGCAACCCAGATCTGTCTGGTAGCACAGTATTTTTACTTTCTAGTCTCCTCATCCAGACAATGAGGATCCTTAATTGAAGTAATGAAAAAACTTCTAATCATATCAATAGAAAACTTAACAAAAATAAAAGATGGAGTCTAAACCAAATTAATACCCTAAATTCTTTTTCCCGTGGTGAGGTTTACAAACTTATTTTGAGTTAAGGAAGAAACATGATTGCCAAAACCAAATCTAAATGCATATTCTATCTTTTCCGATAGTGCAGGAAGATCAAATCTATTACTTTTTATTGATGTTACTTAACTGGCTTTAACACAGTTATACAAAAGATGGATTTTTGCTCTGTTTCGAGAGACAAGGCAATACAATTGAGTAACAAACTATTACTGACCCCTTTAACCATTTTGAAGCTTAAAGGAGTGATTCACAGTGGACTTTCAGTGACATCCCAACAGCATCCAAACCTTCCCTCCTGCCTCCTCTCAGAGCTGTCTGGCTTTGGGTGCTCACAGGCCATGATCCTTCCCTGACATCCACATAATTTGCTACAGCTGTTTAATACTAGCTCTTTAAAAAGCAAAAAGTACTAAACATGTCTGAATTGTCATCATCATTTATCTCATCCAGACCATGAGACTGTGTGACACAATCCAAAGTCATGGAATGCCCCTAAGTCTGTGATGAGTGTTATGGGCATGGAGAACATTAGCTTCCACATAGGCCATTTCTCTCCATCTTTTCTGGAATTTCTGATACCCTGTCCCAAGCAGCTGCATGCAAACCTTTCTCTGCTGGCTGTTGCCATTCACAAAGATAAACCATGTTCAATTAATACTTGTCAGCCAAAATCACTCACTTTAGTTCCCCGGACAATTTGCTAGCTAGAGCCCACCGATGGTATAGAATTATCTTAGGCATACTAAAGAGCATTGTCCTGTCATGGAAGCGTGAGTTACACCCTGATTATTAATATAAGAGGCTTGTTAGAAACTGT